GCACCAGCACATGTGTGGAGGTCAGAGGACAGTTTGCAGGAATCATTTCGCTCCTTCTCCCATGTAGGTCCCAAGGATCAAACTCAGCTTGTCTGACTTAGTGGCAAGTGCCTTTACCTGCTGAGCCATCTTGCCAGTCCCTAACTGTGATTTTGTTTTGCGTTTCTCTAGTAATCACCTAAATTTAAATAAATAAATAAATAAATAAATAAATAAATAAATAAATAAATAAATGTAATTTTAAAAAGTTTTAAAGCAACCCCCTCCCGGCCCCAACCTGCCAGGTAAGGTGGCGCACACCTTTAATTCCAGCTCTTGGGAGGCAGACATTGGTGGATGTCTGTGAGACCAAGGCCAGCCTGGTCTGCATAGTGAGTTTCAGGCCAGCTAGGGCTATAGGGCGATTTCATCTTGAAAAAGATCTCACCAACCCAAGGAGAGTAAGTGTGGGGGTGGTTAACACACATGTAAAATCTACTCTTTTTACAAATATAACAATCGGACCAGCAAGGTGGCTCAGTGGGTAAGAGTGCTTGTTCTCCGAGCATGAGCACCTATCTGACTTTGAATCCTGAGCACCTATGTAAAAAGTCAGACTTTTGGGGTGGATCCTGAGACTCACTGGCCAGACATTCTATCTGATAAGGTGAACTTCCAGTTAGTGAGGGACCCTGAGTAAAAGACAGTGACACAGGACACCCAGAGTCCTTCTCTGTCTCCACATGTCTGCACACTTGAACGCACCACACCATACACCAGAGAGAGAGGGTGGGGGGAAGCTAAGAAATGGGAGAATTCATACATAAGGAAACAGAAATCACAGAGCAACCCATTGAAGACTTCAGGAAAAGGTTTAAGTCACCCACAAAAGAAGAGGCAGGGGTGAAACAGAGCTGGAGAACTGTGGAGAAAGGCTCTGAAGAGAGCAGGTGCAGGCAGAGGCTGGTCTGGAAGCTGTGGCTGCCTTCCAGAGGAGGACCACTTGGGTGTGATGAGGTTACACAGACAATAGGGAAAGGACAGCAGGGACCTCACTGTGTCACTTCCTTTGTCTTCTCTCTCCAGTTTCTCCTTCCTGCTGTACTTCAAGAAACCTCCCTCTCCTTTGACGGCCCAGGCTGCCTCCCCGATCTTGGCCACCCTGGAAGCAGCAGTGCCCATGCTCATGTTCCCCCAATGTGCCCTCTGCAGACAGCAGCAAAGCCTCCCTCATTTCCAGAGTCCCACAGTCCAGATCAGGGCAGCCAACTCGATTGCATGGTGTGTCACTCACTTCTAGTGTGGAATTACCTAGACTATACAAACCATCTTTAACTACAGTAAACCAGACTTTAAAATATTTCTGGCATTCTGGGCATCAGAAGTTAAACTAAATTTTGCTTCTTTCTCTTCCTTCTTTAATACAGGTAAGTAAGAAATAATGACAATTGCTATTCAGCTAGCCAAAGGAGGACTATTACTCACCACCAAACAACACATAATAAAAACCAGGAAAAAGACTTCACAAATGGGCAGTAAATGGTGGTAAAGAGACCATTACTATACACCACAGTGGTGGCTGTTAAACAGAACATTTCAAGGGTTGCTTTGGTGGAAATCTAAACAGCAGATACATTAAACTGTCACTATAATCAGGATCTTTGGAGAGGTTCGGTCCAAGTGCACTTCTCCACCCTTCCTAAGCACCTGTGCCAGGCAGAAGGTAAAAGGAAAGGCATGACCTTTACGAAGCACTCGCCATGTGTCATGTCCTTTAAATATACTAAATCCTCACAGGCTGTGCAACCAGATGAAGAAACAGGATCTCCCAACAAAGTGGCAGAGAAGAGATTAAAACCCAGTCCTTTCTGGCCCAAAGAGAGCATGAACTCTTTCCAGTTTGCCAAACTTACCTTCTGCTATGATTACGGAACTTTCAACTTTCTACAAGTTCAGACAACCACTGACTGGATACTTTCCATTCATCCAAAGAAGAATGAGGTACATTTCATTAAGAAGATGGACAGTCATGCAAACACTGATAGCTACATAAGACAACAGGACAATGGTAAGTACTATGAATGAGAGGGGAGAAGCGAGGACCGAGTCCTGCCAGAAAACAAAGAAATGGATTCC